AAAAAAAAAATAATTTGTATAAAAAATATGTAGATAGTGTACCAGGCATGAGTATCAAATTATCTGGTGCGCAATGCGTTGATTAATTATATTCTATATCGATATAAGATAAATTAAAAGAGTAAGAAATATCAAAAGGCTGGTTATTTTTTCGATTCCGATCTACAGGATAGAGGAGACTTACTTGTCGTATGGTTTGTGGCCCCACATATGTGCCACGCTATTCACGCAGAAGGCTACGTTGAGGGTCACGCAGAACCGGAAATTGAAGTTCACCCAGAAAGAAGTCGACAATGATTCTGACCAGAAGTAACATGGCACGCTGACCGGAAGCGCGATGGTCAGCAAGAAGAATAGTGGAATATAGAGTCTACGAATAAGAATGGCATCGATTAGGTATCGGTAAGAAAAACAGAAGTGTCTTTCAAATGAATTATAATTAACAATTATAACTTAACACGTTGAACGCCGCACGATTTCATCGAGCGAACTACACACAATGGAAAAAGTATAATACTAAATCGTTTAATTGTATTGCATTATGATTATTACACGTTTATCTAGCTGAATGTCACCGTATTAGGTAGCATTATTTATAATATAGAAATGTTTTCTTTAAGTGAACTATTCGATTTAGTTGGAGGTCACCGGTGCACCCCCATGGCATTCAACGTGTTAACCAATCGATAGCTCGTTGAGTAAGTAAAAATATTCTGTGTATATATGCAATTTCTTTCATTTAGATTAGAATGAAGAGGAAAAATATAACAAAATTCTGTTCTTTTTCAGTAATTACCTTGCTGGTCAAGATAAAGGGTTGAAACTTGACACACAATGTTTTCGATTTCTTTATAAGATACGAGTTTTCTTACCTTTTCTGCCACATGATGATGGGATCAGCTTCTAAGTCGCTCATGTCGATACTTTTTCGTTTTGCAATAACATCGGGGTGTGGCGTCGTGAACAGCCAACCGACATGGGCGAAGAAGAAACCTCTTTTCGCATTATGGGGATCGGCATTGGTTTCGCTATACTTATGGTGCACCCTGTGGTCCAGCGCCCACGCGTACACGTGCCTCTGTAAAGAGAAAATACAAATACCAAATTTTACCACTTCTAGACAAACTAATTAACGCACTCAGCACAGCTGGGAAGTAGTTCCCAAAGTAGGTGAATTTTAATTTTTTATTGCAACTCTCAAATGTAATCCTCACGCTAATACTATAATTACCAAGACAACACTATAGCCTCCAAAATTACCGCGCTATCAGCTGAAACAGTTAGCTCTGTATTTTTAGTATTTTTTATTTGCCACCCGTATGGATGATTGGTTAGTCTGTATGATTTTTATCATATAGATCAGCAACTTAGGGGAGCAAACAAACTGTTCTGAAAATGATAAGGCTTGGAGTTTGGCTTGTTGTTGAAGTCCAATGTACGTGAACTGTACATGTTGATTTGAAAATATATTCAATTTCAGAACATTAGAAACTTGAGGATCAATTCAATACATTTATAATTACATAGGAAGATCATTTAAAATCTAATAAATTATTATTTGTCATTAATAATTTCATTTTCTATGATTTTCCAACTACGGTACATTGCACAAAGGATAAGTTTTAGAACGGCACAAGGGCAAAAGAGGTCTTTGGCTACGTGTTTTGTTTATAATTTTGATTAGTTACGTGTTGACGAATGGAAAACTGACTAATTAGACCAGCATTCCTTTCAGAGATGATCTGCTCCGAAACGAAGAGTAAGTAACTTAAAATAGTAACTTGGAATGAATACCTGTCCACTTATCGTGAAAAGAAAGACCAGAAGCAATCGCAACGGCCATTTCGCTTTGTACGCTTTGTGAGCCCAGAGTCTGTGAGCACCGGCGGTTATACCGAATGCGGAAGTGTATATAGTCACGAACGCTGCGGAAGAGCATATCAGATATAATTATAACTTCTGTTTTAAAACGATACGTTATTCGTGCCTACAGTTCTGACTTAAATCGAGTGTATGCGTATTTTTAATTCGAATGTATGGAATCTATTAGGACACTGAAATACACTAAACACTCTAACATCCTTAACTTTTTTCATGAAACTCTATCGATTTATTTTTAACGGTTTCCTGCCGCTTGACAAACTGTTCTCGAATTACAACGTAAGTTTATACACGAGAACAATAAAATGCAGATAACTGTCGATTCATATAATCGGTTGACAATTCCCGCGCATACTTTTCTGTTCGCATAAATATATTATACAAGAAATCTGTATATTTCATTAAAAAATTCGTTTTAGAATTCAAATGAAAAATTCAATTCTTATTGATTTCAAAGTCGAATTATTCTTATTCGAAATTTCGACTTTAATTTGAAAATAGTACACTGAATTTCAATAATTTCAGTAATTTCTTAGTGGCAATTCATGATTTTATCTGCGTATGTCAGAATCTTTCTAATTATGTGTATCAATCAATTTTAAACGAGTGATCGTTAATCACTGTTATAACGAGAAAGTGAGAGTTAATTATCTAGGTAATATACTGAGCATAGTTCTCGTGATTTGAATGATATAGAGCTAAATGCGATGTTATAGAATAATAATAATCGTACAGGAAACGGTGATATTCTTGTCTCCGGTATATAACTTTTCGTCGCGCTATTTTTACGACACTAAATTTCCGTTGAAAGATTAATATTTTATTGCTCTTCCGTTGCAAACTAATGACACTAGTTGTTATTGAAACATGATTGCAATAATATCATATATCGAAACTATGTTCTACAGAATGAACATTTTTGTAACAAGAAAAAATGAAAAAATTGTATATATTTCTCAGTGAGCTTAATGTCTGTTAGCCAACTATTATCAGCCGGTGTCACGCAAACTTATATAATTACGCTGTTCTCAAGCCTATCATATTATTATTCATAAATTAAAACACTCATCTGTAATATTTTTTCTTTGGTGATATTACCTAAAATTTCATTTTAGAATCGATGCTAAAATTTATTATTGGGACACAACATTTCTTTACTCGAACGCTTACCCCATAGACTAGTAAGAAGCTTTGCTTCCGTAAACATGAGCCAAAGTCCATAAATACCACCACCATGAATGAAAGTTTGCGCTATTAAATCTGGCCACATGAGTCGAGGAACATATTCCGTTCTGCTACTCCGATAAGTCTCATCAACCGTCAAAAAGTCCTCAGTCTCTGGCAGTCTTTCGTTTTTCGAATTTGTTTCTTTACTCTTCGGCTCCGAAATGTGCTGCATTATGGAAGGGACGCGGTCCTTGCTTGTGTGAAATGACGCCATATTTTCTTTCATTCTCGAGGGATCGACTCAACTTAATTCTATTAATTTCTTCGCCCTTAATCTAACATTCTTCTCATATTAGTTCGATCTAGGAGCTGTTACGGATGATTCTGTAACCACAATATTATTTATATTTAATTATACATAAAAATTGTGAATTAAACATTATTGACATAATAGTTACAAATTATGGATACAACAATTATAAATTCTTGATTGAAATGTGTCGTATTATAAATATGTCACAGGAGGTGCACTAACAATGCAGGAGAAAAGCATGAATGAAATTTATAATTTATCGTCACTAAAATGTTGATTTTATGTATTTATTGCGTAAATTTAGACAATATAATATATATATCCGATATAGACACTATATAGTGCGTCTAAATAAATGAAAACAGAAATATCTATTTGCACAACCACATTTTGCTTGATTAAGGAGAAATTCCACGTTAAGCACATTGTGGAAACGCTGTCTAAAAACAATTAAAGCAATAATATTGTTTTTCAATCACATTTTCATAAATCGATAGTACACTGAATAATAGATCTGCGCTCGTTGATTTGCCGGTAAAAACTGTGAGTGACACAGGTAAACCGAATGTTAGAAGATGCTATCTATCGATCGGAGATATTACTTTTCCTGGTATCACGGCCGGCACTGTTGATAAAACTATTTATTTTAAGATATTTTATAATGTGTATTATAATATTCAACACAGGTTATACATGAAATATATTATAATATAATATAACACACTTAATGTTTATTAAATGAAAATTGGGAAGTAATTTGAGTTTTGCGTACTTCCTACTTCCTTAAGCCTTAAAATGGAGAAGAAGCCAAATGTTCAATGATTCAATAATGTCGTTTCTCAAAGATTCAAAATTTCAAAACCTTTCGACCGAATAACCTTGAAACCTATAATGTTATGATATATGTAAAGATAATGCTGTGTGTAATATCAGATAAGATTAGATCACTTTATTCAATCATAAACGAAATAAGAAAGTACTTTGTAATATGAATGGATATTTCTTATAGATTCCTTAAATATTTAGGTAATTATTACATAATTTTTTATATTTCCTTCAAAAACTCTATTGAGCAATTATAAAAGAGTTGGTCCAATTTATTATTCCCACAGTTCTTAACGTATACGTTGCGTATATGAATTAAACACTTTAATTTATTTACTTATCTAAATATTACACGGTCATATAATAGAAAATATACTGCAAGTACCTATACTTGTAAATGTCCAATAATGATCATCATTTGTATGTTACATTAAAGTGTAAGCTCTGTTGTTTATAAAACAGTCTAAAAGTAATTATACAATGAAACTACTTTCGGTTTGCACAAAATGAATAAAATTAGACGCATGTGAGACTTCCGTTCAAACTTTTAAATGTGCAATTAAAGCGGAACTGAGAATCGAACTTTATTCAGTAAAATATTTCACATCGCAATCTACCTCATTATTTTCCAAGATACAAGACTGTATAACTTCTTATATTGAAAAGTGATCATTATTCAATGTAATCAAATTTGATTAAGGCTCACCTTAGAATAAACTCATGCTTCTTAATTTCATCTAACAATAAATCTTAACAAAAGCAGATTCTTTTCCTAAATATAACACTTAATAAAAAAATCTTGATATCATAAATTAACTGACGTGACATAAACGCGAGAGAAAGACATAAACGACGAACGTACACTAAAGTTCTGAATTACAAATTATGTCAATTATATAATTTCCGTTTATTAATTTGATTTATATCATTTTTTATTGAAATTATCTCCTCTCAAGTATAAACGATAACGTTCTTTGAATAGTGTATTCTAAGCACCATACTCGTGAATGCTCTTCGTTAAATCGTCCATCTGCTTGTCTTATCTCAAGACTGATTTTCAAGACACCTGGCTCGATTCCATACAAAAAATATATCTAACGCGTCATATATATAAGGAAACATGTATTTACTTGTTCAAGGATTTTGAAAAGATAATGGATAATGCAACACATAAATCTTCTTCGTTATTATTTGCTTCGTTTTGCGATTCATTGCAACTTAGTCAGTATGCCTCTTCATTGCTGATCATTTTCATTTATTATAAGTATTATAAATATAGAATTACTATTGATATTAAGGAGGGAACACTATAAAGATTACAATGATATTGGAAGAATTCTCGCGGCTGGAATGTAAATAATGAATGAACTATAATTAACTGTTACACAGTTGGGAAAACATTTCGGTACCGACATCGCAAACGTTGTCATTGACCCCTAGGTAAACGAGAACATTCATTAAATATCCCCAACGAAGAAAATAGCGTGGCTGGCGCCATGTCCTAACTGCTCTTTAACTACAGGGGGTAGATTTAACGCTTCTACGCTATTGAAGGTACGCTAGAATGGGATAATGAAAGCGAACGCTTCCTAAAAAAGAAAACATAGAAACATTTATGGACTTATTTAAGTTTTCGAATAATGTTTAACGATTTATGAATGTTAACTTGAATTTGTAATCAATGTTTCTTACAATTTCATCTTTACTTATGTTATATATTTTACGATATTCAACGAAAACAAGATAAAAAGATGGTTAACGTTGGAACAGCTAATTTATTAGGACAACTACATAAATATTTCTGTTTAATTTTAGTTTCTATCGTGCTACGTTTATTTCTCTGATAATTTCATTCTTTTGCTGTTTAATTTACGCAGTTCTTGCTTTTTTTCTACAGAGTTTGTATTAATGCGTTATTAGACAGTTTTCTTATTACTTGAAAATATTCTTTACTTTCTCTAGTTTTAGTTGCCCTTATTTTGTTCTGTTACGAGACGAAACATGACGTTAGTATTATAAGAACTATATCATTCATTATGCATTTCGTGATAGGTTTCTTTTCAGTGTGTCATTAACAAGACACAAACAGTTCGCAACTTGGAGTATTTTAGTCGAGCAGGAATCACAACATGCATGTGTATGTGTAAAAAAACATTTTTTGTATCATTTTGATAAACGTTTGTCATGTATGGAAATGACTCTCCTTCGACCCCACCATTTTTCTGTGTTAATGAAAAAGTGTCATTAACGTTAAATTAGCATCATACTTGCGGATGGTTAATGGATCGTCAATTATCACGTCTGAAGTCTTATAAATGTCGTTAATTTCTTTTTTTCATAAACATCACTATCGTATCGTGGACTAAAAAAAGATGACTAATTAACACGTTTCACTATCAATGGTGATAGTGATGCAACCAACGATGAATCAACGAATTGAACGCGAAAAAAATCTGGGACACATCTAGGTGCAATTATAATTACCGTCGATAAAAGGAAAAACTACGTCCGACGATTATCGCAATTAACGGAAAAGATATTTCTTCCCGGAAGGAACAATTGTTCCCTCGTCTGCGAGGATGCTAGAATAATTGAGAACTGTAGTTTGAACAAGCAATTTGTCAAGTCATAAAAAGGTAATCTGGAAGAACGTTCTCCAGTTCTTTGGATGTTTTACGATTCCAGCTAGTAAACATTTAAATGGAATAAATTTCTGTTAGATTAACGTATCTACCTCTTTTATTAAGTAAGTTTCCATATTAGTTTGAAATAAAGTCTCGTTTTTAAAATATTAAATCCTACAAACTTTTAAAACCTTTTTAAAGCGATCCTCTTTTGACGAATAATGCTTTTAAACAATTTACGAATGAAAGTTCATTGCATTACAGGTGACAATTTACGGGTCTATTTTTGCAGTGGTAGATGACACACGAACAAAATGATTAAATCTGTCGATGAGATAGAGGCTATTTCTAACCGAACTTAATATTAGTTTCAAAGAAAATAGAAATGAAGGAAAACATACAGAATTTGAAATACATTGCCAATTGAAAAGAAGCAGACTAAGTGATAATATTTGTATTGCTTCTCATACGAAATGTCGGGTTGAAATCAAATATTCATCGACAACGCGATAACGATTCTCTTGGAAGTCTAAGTCCATTATTACGATTCTAATGTAATTTGATTACAAGGACGAGAGGCGACACGAGATCGATGACTGCATGTTTTTGACCGTGCAATGTAATTTTGTTATTTGACGGCGTCTTCCATTTCCAACGATACAGCCATTAATTAGAATTTATTGTTGGGAATTTATAGTTCACGGCCGAATTGGTCTTCCTTCTGTCAGCCTGCGTGTGTCAGAACTTCTTTCGAGCCGCTTCTTGATTAAAGTCTGCGTAAAACAATCGGCTGGCGTCAGTAGAATCAGACGACCGCTGTCAGAACTCACTCCTATGTTTGCTCTTCTTTTGAAGGCCTAACAAGTAAATCATGTTTGATCGTTGCCTACGTTTTAGCCACAACGAAAACGCAGACACGTATTCGACATTTAAATTAATACGAACGTTTATGCTTTTGCGCGGAATCGTTTGAAGTCATAAATATTAATAAAACCTGATGTTCCCCCGTTTCCCGAATATAAACTAATTAAAACCCGCTGAATCTCGTACATGTAAATTCATACTCCATTTTCATGTTCTGCTTTTTTACTTATGTCCAATTTTACATATATACCGATTAACCATCGTTCGAAGTCGTAAACATTAACCTTTTACACTCGAGAGGTGACTCTCACTCACCACTTGACTTCATACAGTGAAACTATAAAATTAGATATTTAATATTATACCTCGTATAATGCATCAGTTTGAGAAATATTGAAACAAAATAGCTTTGTGCCTCAATGTACGTGTTTCTCTTCAAGTTAGTTTCAAAAGATATCGTCTTTGTCTCATTAGAAAATGCTAAAATACATCTAGTGAAAAACTTCCGAATGCAAAGGATTAATAAAAATCAATACCCCTCGTTCCCAGTCCACCACTTAATTAAAAAGAAAAACATACTAACTCGCATACATGTAAATTCATTCTCCATTGTAATTTTCTACTTTCTCGTTCGCGTGTAATTGGAAATATTTAAACAGTAATAATACAAACGTCGTGTTAAGTGACTCGTTATTTTAAAATGACAATCGACGGTAAATGCCGATTAGAATAATTTCTGGTAAACAGAAAACTGGCCCATTAGAAGTAGAAATGGCCTCGTTTGTAAATAGGTGGTCATGTTATCAATTAGAGTGGTTCTTATCATTCGCGAATTATTGAAAGTGCCCAGATGTGAGCAACGTTCTTTTCCGCTCGCCTTAATTATCTCAGTCGAAACGTATCCGAGAATCCACGCCCGTGGTTGCGTCATTTGGGCAACAAGGTGCTTCAAGCCCGAGAACTTGCTATAACGCGCGTCCTACGACTATCTTATATGAAGCGATGAATCACGTCCAATATTCATGTACATACTTGCGCATGACATGTGCGGCATACCCACGTGGTATTCTTCGCGTCATCGCAAAATTTCATCGGTATGCCCTTATCCTATCTCGAATGTATTTATTTAACTTCCTGCTATTTCTGTATGCTTTAGGTATTCATGTGTGTATAGATATTTCATATTACTAAACATCTATATATATATTTCGTATTACCACATGTATACATATATCAATACAGATGACACACATCATCTGTGATGAAACATCTGAACAAAATGCTTCACACAGGTTCAAGTGAATTAAATCTACGGTTGTCCAAAAACCTTCCGACCAATAAAATCTTTCTACAAATTTCTAGGAATCTTTCCTTTTTATAATTACAATCTAGACTGAAACCGATATCGAAGTAAGCTGAAAAGATTTAAGATAAGACTTGTTCATAGTTTATTAAATAATTTTCAAAGTTACGATCAAATGTTTGTCAGGTACGCGTGCAATTCAATGTCTGTTCGCTGTTTGCCATTTCTACTTATCGCAAGTACGTGACTAAATCTACGTTTACTTAACTGTTCCTCCTATAACATCGAGTCAGACTCGTGATGGAAATTTTTAACTGAATTCGATTAATCTGAACGTTATCTATCTATTTTTCATATGAATGAAATATTGTTTGTTTATTAGCAATGTTTAATCTTTAGAGTAATCTTTATCGTTTTCTACTAAATTATCCACGATGAAGTACTCCTATTAAGCACAGCTGTGAAAGAAATCATGGGACAAGGACTTAACTTGTTTATGTAGATCCTCTTCCCTTTTTTGAATGGTACCATCAATTTTCTGACATTCTATGTACGTTCTATACGCGAGTGAACTACTTCTTCCCTCGTGAAGCGTTTACGTGGAAGCAATTGTAGCGAAAATAATCTTGAGCGAAATCGAAAGGCGAGAGGTTAAGAGAAACTCATTCAAGAGCAATATGAATCGAAGCGCATCAATGAATTCTCATAAACGACATCGCGCGTGGTTCGTTCAAGGCCAAACCAACGATCTTCAACTAACTGGAGAAACTTTAACCGTTTTGAATTCCATATTTATCGCGTCGACCCTTTAATTTGCGAATGGAAGAAAGAGGAAACATGATGAATGGTTACATAATTACACACAATTAAATCACACGACGTCTCTGACATGTTACAATCAAGTGACATCCGAAACATGCGTGTCGAGGACATCAGAATAAGAGATATGGTTACTGTACTTATTACACCACTTTTTCAATAACATTCTCTGTCCGCTAGACTTTGAATCCTTTGAACCCTTCACCTTATAATAATTTCAGCAAATTTCTTAATGAATTTCTATTTCACAGATACGTGTAGATTGAAAATATCCCTTAAAGCGAAGTATTTCACGTGTCAATCATTTTCACCGGACACTTTCATCATTTTCTTCATTTTCTTGACACAATAATATAAACTACTAAGTGTGCTTGGCAACGAAACGTTTCACGCGGAATGCGTTAAGTAAACTAGTTAAAAATGAATTTTTCTTAAAATTCCTAACAATAAACTATTGATATCATATTTACCCACTGTCAAGTCGTCTTGAGATTACAATATTCTAGATCGGCCTATTATATTTATCATTCCTGGGATCTGCATTTCTCGGAACCAGTTGGTAATCAGGGATAAGCAAAGAAATTTTTTCGATCAATTTAACGTTAATCTTTGCTGCTTGATTCTCTGAAGAGTTTTGCTGCTTACATCTGCAAGGTTTTTAGATCCTTATTACCACTTAACGGATTGATATCGGTGACATGTGGAAGTATATATACCATTGGCATTCAAAAGTTCACGGTTAGATCGTTTTTGGAATTGAATCCATGTCACATCGATGTAGCGCTTTGATTAATGCAAAGGGATGGCCACAAGATACTAAGTATGATATGTTAAATACTACACATAAATTATTATTATAATAGAAAACCAGCATTATTTTCTTTTCTAAACACTCTGGCCGAAAACCTTTGAACATGCTGAATTATTTATTCCTAAAAAGATACGTATAAAGAATAGATGGTGTTGATTCTTTTACAGTATCCTCTCATGCAATATATCTTTTATATATCATAACAACAAACAATTCTTGAAGCCTCTGTTGTGTAAGAAAAGTTCCAAAAGCGATCTGGCCGGGAACTTTTGAACGCCACTGTATATATTTTTTACTTTTTAAATTAAATTCACAAGTTTCGCAGGGGTAATTATCACAATCGTAGGAAACTCGCGTGAAACGACCTGAAACAGTGAATCCGAGGAACACGTAATAGCGAACTGAATAATGGACTGGTTCTTTTCGAGAGGTCCTTCCACTGTTCGTTCCGCGCGCCGCGTTGAATAAACATTGTTGCTCGCGTTAACACGCGCGCCACAAATAACAAACTCTATGCGCGCACTCGGGACGCACGAGACGCGCCGAGGATGAGCAGAAGATTGGCACGAGCGCGAAGGAGTTTGACTACGACTGATCATCGATCGTCGCGATGATTCAGCGTCCCGTTTGTCTAGCCTATCAGTTTCGACGTTTCTGCAACGAAATTTGAAATTAAAATTTAGTTTTGTATACTAGGATCTGTAGCACGAAGGCTGCCGTGGCGGTCATCGATGACGGTGGTGTTCGAATCGTTTAAAAGTAATTACAATAAGATTTGATGGCGAATAAAAATTCTTAATGAAGACCTTCTGTCATGTGTTGTAGAAACGGACATTCCGAAGAATTTTTCCTTTTGAGAAAAATGTCACCTTTTAGTTTCTGAGATAATCGAAGAACTGTCGTTACCATTGCATAGTGTGTTATATGTATAGGTAAATCTTTATTAATAAAAATGAATGTTTCTTTGTTTGTCCCGTATGCGTTCGTATACCATTCATCCGATTGCGATGAAACTTTAGTGAGTTGTGCGCACATCCGCGAAGATTTCTGAATTATTACAATGATTTTATAATTTAAATAGAGCACTTTCTTTCTTTGAGTAACATGCCGGGCATGCAACGCATGCCGGGTACTCGTACTAAATATATTGTCGCATTAACACTAGATTTATGGACATTTATTATGCAGTTTATTCTACTGTTCCCAGAAATATTGATGTTCATCCGTTTAGATCTAGGATATCAAATGTTTAAAAATGTATTATTACGAACTATAATCACGTAATTGAATCAATCGAAATCGACTCAAACATTTACCGAATAATGTTTATAAAATTGAAAACCACGCGAAGTCACGGGTAACAGCTAGTACATTATGTTAATGTATTTACGTAATCAGCCTTCGTCATTCTCGTGTTTCGCGTCTCGTAGAATAATATACTTACAGTCCCCTTCATAAGAGTACAATATACAAGTGTACCGAAAGTCGTGGAACATCTAAAATTTTATACCATTGCCCTGAAAATACAACCCTTCTAACACCAAGTTCTGTTATCCAAAATATTTGTGGCTTTACTTTTGAAAACCTGTGAAATCTGATTATGCTGAAATGTTGTATACAGTTCCCTTTTAGATAAAAATAATCTTTGCGGGAAGGATTTCTAACGATTCGAAAGGTAAAGATCCAAAGTTATGCAAAAAAGTGATTTACCATTTTAGTGTCAGCCCCTATAATTTCGTAAATTTCTATGTTCTGATTGGACTGACATTTTACATATAGCCTCTTTTTGTTTAAGGAACATATTTATGAGAAAGATTTTTGGAAACTCGGTAGTTAACAGAATTTTACGAAGTGTTTCATCAATGCAATATCACTTCCTACGTTACCATTATACCATAGAACAGGAACCAATTTATCATCAACGAAAGACAGGTTGCCGGCAGCACAGACTTGACAAGTCTGTGGTTAAGTGAGCATCTTTTTAATACTACGTATAATATGCATGCTAACAGAGTTGTGTAGTTACGGACTGTTATTGTTTTTCGAGTTTTCAAAAATGGAACGACATCATATACAAGAAGCGTTCACTGTTTTAAAACCACTTTGTGATTGTTTGATGAAAAATCCGAATGTGAACACTGCACGTAATGTTGCTCTCGCTATAACAAAAATTTCGGATAAAGTTATTCAAGATTTATTGGAATATATTTTATTTCCACTAATTACTCATTTGCCAAATCAAAGACTGAGGTAAATATTATTACTTATCAAATACAAATGAATGTGCATGTAATTTGCGAAGTTTGTAAAATAGTTAGAATTAGTACATAAATTAATTGATTGACTGGATGAGAGTGTTAATAAATGATTTTTATGTACAGGAAAGATGTAAAAGAAGAATTAGTAAAAACAGTCCAAGCAATATTATCAAGAGCAAGAATATCCAAGCTAGAATATTTTAATAAGTTATATTCATGTCTCTTGATACAAATATATGATCAAACGCAACAATCTATGGGTACTTTGCTTTAATTATAGTTTTAATTTGATTAGAAAGTTATTAAATAACTATATAATGTAATTTAATCTATATATTTTATATAGTTATCACAGGTCACGAAGAACTTAAAGAAGCAGTACTTATTTGCATTAAGACTTTAATACATTCCTGTTTCATAGAAGTTATAGAATCATTGTATGTTAGAGAAAATGCCTCAAAGATAGGTCAAGGAATTTTATTGTCTATAACGATAGGCAGAACTGAAAAATCATGTTCGCTGAGGTAAATATAAAAGAATCTTATTTTCAATATTTTATTCAATTTTTATGTGTGCCTATGCTTTATAAATTTTTAGATTAAAAGCAGTAGAAACAATAATGGCTCTATGTCAAGTTGACGATGAAACAGATAGATCTGATATTATATTACAAGATCAAATAGCAGAAGTTATTATGTTATTTTTACCTGGCATTGCTAGTGGATTGCAGGAGATAGCTATGGGTAGCGAAATACAAGGGCATAAACTTACAATGGTAAAGTAAAATGATTTTTATTATTAAATATTTAGCAATATATTGAAATTTTATTGTAATATAAAATTTTAGTTAGCGCTAAGAGCTTGGGGAAGAGTAATCTCACTTGTAATGAAAGATAAATTAGAAGAACACGATACACCATCATTAGCCACTCTTATTAATGGAAATATTAACGTAAATACCAATCTTTTAGAGAGTTCGCTGTGTATAAAAGATCATAGTGAGTTAGAAAAACATCTTAAAAATGCAATAAGAAGCAAAGAATGGTTTAATGCTAGTGCAACAAAGCTTAATGTACTTGTTCAACAATTAGATGTACTGAAAAGGCATTCTCATTACAAAGTTAGAAAGGAACTAGTTCAAACCATTCATTTACTACTGACAACATGTCCGAGGTAAATAGTGTTATTTCATATCTATATTTTTATAAATAATTTGTTAAATGAAATTATACACATTTTTTAAATAGGAACATGACACCGAATGTTATGTTATTAATTGAATATCTAATATCTCTATCCGAAGATGAATCTGCAGAAATTCAAGAAGAAGTTGAAAAAACTTTAAATGCAGTTAGTGCAAACTATATGCAAAACAGGAATATGCGGCCTTTGGTGGAATTATTAGAAGAAAATTTTTATAATTTACTGACAAAATTACCTAGAATTATTAGAAAATTTGGTACGACTTTTATTTTATTTTTATACGTGTCTATTTATACTGTAAAAAATATCTTAAATCTAAATCTTAATATTTTAAATCTTTAAGAAATATATAAAATCCAATTTTTACTAGTAAAAAATAAAATATTGTATGTTTCCTAGATGATAATGATCAGTTATCTTGCATAAATCAAGTTGCTGGTTACTTAAAACTTCTTGGAGAACAAAGATTACCCTTCATCATGATGTCTGCGCCGCATGTTCGAAGGTTGTTATTAGCACTCGTCTATGTATCTGAAATAGATTGCAGTGACATTTCTCTTTTGCAAGCTGTAAATGTTAAAGACTTAGAAGAACCAGCTTATTCATTTGGATCACATTTATGGAGACGATTTAAATTCATTCAGAATAGGTCTTGTGAAGAAAAAGTTGTAATAATATGTAAATACCTTGGGAAATTTGGAGATATCAAACTTTTAGTGGATGCCATATTTAGACTCATACTTGATATTCCACAACATAAAAAAGAATTATTTTTATTACTAAACTGGATAATAAATGGTACATGCAATATATATTTTTTAAAATAATTTATAAAACAATGATGTTATTAACTGTTAATTATATATTTTAGTTCCACTTAAAGATGCCTCATTTTTATCAATTTATAAAGATGTTGTGGATTTTTATATAAATCCTGAACATTGGTATTTACCTATTGAGTGTACCGAAGATACACCTTTAGGTGTTGCTCAAAATAACGTAGTTCAATGTTGCCTATTGCTGGAAGGATTAGGATTAATGGCTCAAAACTTAAAACGAAATTATGATAGATTTCTTCTTAAAACATTATATTTAATTATAGAACGTGCAGGTAATCTTAGTTATACTATAACAAAATTAATAGCTGATACATTCAATAAATAATAATCTTTTATTTGTATTTTCAGGTAGCAACCACAGTTTAATTAGTTTTGTTGGAACTCAAACTCTTGAGATCATTGCAAAATCTCAAGAACACAATACAGTGGGTGATCTTCTACGCGCAAATGTTGATTATTTTTCATACCACGTAACAGTAAAATTACGTCGCGTAGAACGTAATCCTGGTGTACTTAATGTTATAGGAGTTGTCATGAAATATAGCACTATAGACGTATTACCTTGTTTAAGAGAAATTGTGGAAGATGTTCTTCTGCAATTGAACAACAATTTTCAAAAGAAAAACTCACATGCTTTTTTGAAAGTATTTTTCACGTTTACAGTATGTATAAAAAAAATAGTCAAACCTAAAGATGTACCAGTAATACGGAAACAAAGTATAATTGTTGAAAATAAATCATCAAAAATTATTGAATCTTTATTGGATTATTATAGAATAAGAAAAGAGATTGATAAAGAAATAGAGGAATCTCCAGCTGATATTGATTTAGAAGATGAGGTAGAAACACAAGCTTTAGAAGAATGTGATGAAGTACATTTAACAGAGGAAAAAGGTAAATATAAGTGGTTTCATTAAAACATAATAAATTTCTAATTCTTTATTAATACAATCAATCTAAACTATAGAAGAAAAACAGAATTTACCGCTTTATATAAAAATGATCGAAGATGTGATGAGGCACTGTTTACATTTTCTACCATCTAAAGAAGTAGAAAAGTCACTACTTGCGATGTCAACATTACAAGAAGGTCTCCAAATTTTAGCTGAATGGGAAAATCAATTATTACCAATAGTACATTTACTTTGGCATCCATTAGTAGATCGATTTCACGATGAAAATGTCTTAATAATTAATCGAGCGTGGCAATTGTTAAATGTGCTTAGTTCCGTTTCGAAAGATTTTATCAGATCCAGAACCCTCAAGTAAGTTTCTTACATCTTCTATGTTATTATAAATTATTACTTCATTTTTCAAATAATAAATGTTAATGTAACTACATTAGATTAGTAAATTAGTAGTTAATTAGTTAACAATACTATAAATAATATGATTACTTTTAGACAAGTTTTACCAGCACTTTCAAAGTTTTTAAATAGTTCAGCAAGTAAAAGTTACAATACGAGTTCGGAAAATATTTATAAATACACTCAACTTTATAAGTTACAAAAGGAATTACTTTCGTCACTAGGTGCAATAGTGAAAAATTTAAATTTTCTTGAAAACGATACATGGAATGTTCTGAGTGTTGCAGAGCCGTACCTTAATAAACACCAGCATCCCATATTACAAGTATATAGTTCTACAAAAAATATATAATAATTATATTTAGTCAGGTTTTATATACCTTCTTATTATTTATAGTCATGCTGCATAAACTTGTACAAAGAAATTGCGGATTATAATTCAGACATTGCTTGGGTGAAGTGTCTAAGTATTATTAACTCTAAAATATCGAAAATTACTTCTGATGAGACTATTGATATAAACAATTTGATGGTAATTTTTATATAGTTTATAAACCAATATATATCATATTAATGACCATGCATTAAACATTTATATATTTTGCTATTTTTTCAGCTACCTGAAAATGCTGCAACAAACGAATATTACAAAAATATTCAAATCATTATAAAATATATACAAAATAAAGATTTGTATTCGGAAATGTGATAAGAAAAAAGAAACGAGATCAAAGTAAGTTTAACAAGTTTATTGTGTTATCAACATTGTAATATATTGTATAATGATATAAATTTGTATTATAATAAATAATGATATTTACATTATACGTATGTTTTTCCTGTTGTATTTCTAAAATCGGTTTTTGCATCTTATAACTAAGAAAAAGAATGAAAATGGGAGAACTACTAATAATATTTTAAATTTTTATTTGTATTCAATTTGTATTTCGTAATGGTACTTCACATTTTACATTTTCGTAACATTACTGTTTACATTCCTATTTTTTACAATAACTTATGTTTGTTAGAAACTTTACATATATCTACAAAGCAAATAACTATTCTATGTAACAGAAATGATTTTATGTTTCTTATTCACAGACGATATAATTCATTTAATTTGTAATTATAAATATACAATAAATAAAATCATTTATTTGTACTGTGATACATGTTAACTTCTATGCAGAATTAATAAACCAACATATAATGATAATTTAATATTTCCTTTGTTATTGTAAATATTTAAATGAAAGAAATGTAAGTGTTACGTTAATATTCTGTTGACAATGAAGAAAATATTAATGAAGTAAATTGCACTTCAAAAACCAAAAAATACTTGTAGACATATATGATTAAAAACTGCAATGTATATAAACCATGTATGTTTATAACTCTTTTTTAGCCATTCCTTTTTTAATAAATCTAGCGATGATTAGTGTGTTTAAAAAATATAACAAGATTATTCAATGGAAATTTCTTAGAAAATTTTCTTATATCGTACATCACTAGTTTCATAAATAAAATATAAGTTTCAGTGGCAATAAATTAATGTATTTATATTTTATAAGATATAACATGAAATTTGCATATATTATTATGTACATTTTACTTTTCTTTCTTCTACCTTAATTTGATTTAAAAACAATTTCGTAGCATACGTGTAAGTGTTTATCTTATTTCATACTTATGTGACAATATCCCAAGATTTTATATTTAAAAAAAGAAAGGAACATAAACTGTATCATTTGTTGATAATAAAGCTGCCAGAAGTGCGTACATATGATGTACACGTAAGTTTTTCGACAATTCGAAAATAAACTAAACCAATATTAATATCTTAGATATTCATGCTTCATCATTGTTCAATATTTAATAGATCGAAATTTGTTTTGTAGAGTGTTCACATGTTGAAAAAATCTGTATGTATATACAGTAGTCTCCCGAAAAAACTTGAATTAAAAATGTTCCTACTTTTTGGAATTGCACAGAAAATGTCCTTTAGAATATAATTTTCCTTATCTTCAACTTAAAAGAAAACTATTCTTAATTTTGCATTTTTTATTAAAAAAATATATTCGTATAGTTTGCAAATGAGTTTATACTGATAATAAACCAGACTGAATTATTCAAGATCTTCGGGGGAAATACTGTAGTTTGAAGAAAAAACTAATTATAACTTGAGCATGTTGTCAGTTATTTTACTGATCTAATAATTAGCGATCATGGTCCACTCTTGTCATATAATGACTAAGCACACTGCTTGAAAATTCAGATATACAATTGTATCTATAGCGTGTGCGTTTTGAACCAATAAAGGAACAAATATAAATATATATATATATATGTATGTTTAGATATTTCAGGTAATGTAATAAACTGTTAACATTTACTTTTGCAGTAACATTGTCTTTTTATAAAACAGTACCTTTTCTTTACAAATTATTATTAGCAAAATGTTTTACCTTTAAGGAACAAATACTTAAGAATGTTATGTACTGATTTTTTCTAGTGAAACGATACATCATTTCCATGCTTGTTTCTGAGCTTTCTGTGAAGCTAGTTTCTTTGTAACGTACGATGAAATTAAAAGACCTGCTAATACTATCATTATTAGATAATAATCGAAATCTTCTTTCAGAACATCAAACGTTTTAGATGGTGTCACGCGCGTGTAGAACAAGTCTGTAATAAATTGTATTGTATGTATAATTAATCATGGTATAAACATTATTTCCCATAAATTAATTCGGTTTATAAAAACAGGAAAATATAATTATAACAACGAAACACTTACCAAGACCATATACAAAAACTAAGCAAGTACTTTCAAGGCCACTAGGACTAGTATGAACACCTGACACCCTAAATACGCTTTGATTATAATTAATTATTGCGTCCATTTGAATAGGTATTTCTGGCATGTATGGTATAACCCCTTCTTCGCGTACTTCTGGATTAATAGGCCGCCGCGGATCTACCATTTTCCACGGTAATTCCAATACTCCACCACTGGCTAGAGCAACTATAAAAAGTAACTTATCAGTAATCGTATTTTATTTCTATTTTAAATTTCGTCATGCAATATTTAAATATTGTATTTACCTATAATGTGCTTGCTTGTAATACCCTTCTCTGTAATAGTTTCCCGCATAGACTCTATTGCTGCAGGGAAAATAAAGGCTTGCCTTTCCACAATTGGCAATTTCGTCGTAGATAAAGATGAAAACACTGGAACGGTATATAAACGATTTAAAGAAAGAAATTTAAGTACAATGAACATTTTTTTTGCAACCTGTAATTACAAAAAACTATACAGTACCTGTTATATTACTCTGTACTTTTCCTTCATAAAGTTCGAGACTAGCGATTTCAGTTCTACGGCTTTTTTCATTAAAGTAGCTGTATACTATCCAATTTTCTGAATGCACAATATGAACTGGACCACGGACTCTCTTATGTATAATAGAAAATATCATTGCTCCAGATACTACGTCCAATAAATACAGATTAAGCGTATCTGAAAGAAATAAATCGTAAAAGCACGTTACTCAAAATTTAACGCTACTTTAATTGTAATTCATCTTGAGCTTACTCTTATGAGTATATCCAACACCCTCGGTTACTATGGCAACTAAATTAGGATTAATATATTTATATAGAACAGATCTATCACTTAAAACTCTACCCTGAGAATGAACACGTTCTATTGGATTTTTCGATACAACATGCGTTATTCTTTGGTTTTTCGGTGAAAGTAGTAACTCCCATACTTTATGAGCGATAAGTTCCTATAAATTAAATCTAATTTCAATATTCACTTTAACATATCGTATGAATTATGTATTTTCTATTGTATGTACCTGAGTTGTACTGTACGAAAGAGAAAATCCAGATAATACACCTGTTGTTTGATCAGCAGTAAACATATACATATTTTTACCAAAAGATGCAGCCATTGCTGTTGCACCTTCAGGATATATGTGTGCTCTATCCCGAGTATCAAGGATAAGCATACTTCGTAAGAAATCATCGGTTGTAACATGAAGTAACATGGATTGCTTTATTTTATATCCTAGTTTTATTAAACCATCTAATGGTTGACCAGTAATTGGATTAAATGTGTATATGACTCCCTGTTCTGTATCCTAAAACATGTAATGTAAATTATGCAATATAAAACTGAAATTAAAAAATAATTTCGTTTTTATATGTATAGGAAAACATACTTTATCTTCTGCTAATAGCGTGCATTGAGGTGGATACGGAAAATGTCTACTGCCACGTTGCACGTATAAAACTATTGCATTAGATCTTTTCACAAAACCTTTAATGCTTGGTACTCTGAGTTGCCAAATAATTTCGCCTTTCCTAGTTTCAATACCATATAACTATAAGCAAAATTACATGTTGTATATTGTCCATGTTGGTTAATATATATATTTATCAACTAGCACATGCAATTTATTAATTAGTAGCTATAAAATAAAATCATACCTTTCCAGTTGAAGTAACAAGAACAATCATTTTATGTAATCCAAATTTATCTCGTACTAAATCAGTACGTTGGTTGGATGGTTGAGGTGTAATACTTAATATAGATTGGAAAAATGCTTTTGCTTGCTTGAATTGTGAGCTGACTCTTCTGATCATCATACTTAGCACATCCCCTAATTGTAACATAAAATTATGAAATTACATATATTATATGAACAAGAAAGATACTGCGACCTGTTTTCCTATTTACTACTGTTATTAAAAAAACAGCAAAGTATGCAACTGTAAAATTGAAACAGTAACAAATAGCACGTGATTCAAGTTGCGTTAAAACCAGTTGATTAAAAATTATTTTAAAACTATAAGTTTGTAGATACAATTACAGTCTCAGATTATTTGTATTTATGTAATTATTCATGCATAGCACTAAATATAAATTACATTATTCAATTATTTTCAAACGTGTCATTTAAAATCCTTCTATGCAAGTGTATTCATTGAATTTCTAAATGTTTAAAATTTCCATGCAAATACTAATTGCCATGTCGCAATTTTTTCTAAGTAACAGAGGGTTAGACTATAAAAATATTCTCTTCACATTTACATGAATGCCTAAGGAAAGTCGATACATGCGAATAAGTCTAAACGACACCAGGAAAACAAAATAATTTTCAAACCAGCCCTTGCTGCTTCACTACTTACATGAACTGTCTACATCAATACCTGCCAGCAGCCATTCACAAAAGAAATATAATTAATATAACTTAAATAATCTGTTTTTGTTAATTATGAAATTAGAAAAATAGAATAATTCTGTTATCATTATTACAATTAAGTTACAACATCAAGCTTCTTATATTATTTGAATAATAATATAAATTACGAAACTGCAATATAATAACGTTTTTTTTAGTATTCCTAATAACCATGTTAAATTATTTGATATTTTATAAATATGAATTCAGAATGTATCACAAACTCCAATGATTATTTAATTTCTAGCTGAATAATTGAAAATAAAAGTATTATTTATTTCAATTTTTGCGGATTTTTAATGTACCTTAATAAACATGAAAGTAATATATGATTCATACTTACTTTCTTTCTGATCAAATTCTGTTTCAATAGCCTGTTCCCTATCGGACATAGGCAATTCTATAATTTCCACTGCTACGATACTAGCAAGTGCTTCCTCTCTTGCCCATATTAATTTATTATGTTGTAAAAGTGCAACACTGTGATCTTGTGAGCTTAATAAATGTCGACACGTTATGCCTTTTGCTTGTCGAGGGCAAACAGAAGCCACAATTGTTGGCGACAGTAAAGAACCATGCTGTAGAGTCAACGATAAATTTGGCATTGGTTCCGATGTTAAAAGTTCTGTAGCTGTAATTACTGTTGTCTAAAATCAAATAATTTAATGTCTTAATAATTATATGTAAATAACATTTCAGAAGTTTTACAAGTGTGATTAAAAATAAAGTATTTACTCCTGCTTTATACGTTGTTTCCAGAAGCACTTTTTCATTGTCAGCTGAAACAATATAGAGCATTGCATCACCAGCTATATCTCTTTCAATAGGAACAGGTTTTTCTCCAATAATAAGAATTCGTTTTCTTTGATTAGCATCTGCGCTAATTGATACAGCAGGTTCTTCGCCAGCTAGTGATTCTATGTGATATGGACCTTGTGAACCCCCACCAAATATTGCGAACATGGAAAATGATTCTGTCTTAACATTTCTATCAAACAAGTGTATTAAGAATAATATGGCTAGTGAATTAACCCCTCTTAAACATGCTAGATATGGAGCTGCCAGAACACATCTAAGGAAAAAGAAAACAAACTAAATTAAATAATATCAATCGATCAGATGAAATAAAAGTTTTTAATGTAATCAACGTAGAGTATAACAGTCATGTTTTAATTTAGTTTCTTACTCTGTTTCCTGATTTATAAATTCTGCAGAGATTTGCGATGTCTTGAGTTTGTCTCCTGTTTTACTATCATACGATGTCACTTCAACAGCGCTATTATAAATTGGTAAAATATGATGTAGCGTACCATCCTTTATGTGCCACTTTACATCTTTGATTCTGAATAGTAACACGAAATTGAAAATGTTAACATAAATAATGTGCATTATCTTAGCTAACATATAATATTTATCAATAATATTATATAATATGATCACACCAATTAATTATACATATATTATGTACACAAGATTGAAAAAAGTATTAAATAAATTAATAATTATTGCAGAACAAGATGCTTCAGTGAAATTATTAAAGTGATACGTATACAAATTACACAACATAGAAATTGATTGATTTTTAAATCTGTCTTGTTTATCATTTTCGATTTCTTTTCTATATCTTTTTTTTTGCAAAGAATAAAGTGTAAAACATGAAATGCAATACAAGAATTACACTGAGTACAGCACATCATACATGTGAGATTATTAATCACTGAATGTATAGAATATACATGTATTATTGATTGTGCATTAAGATAAGGTAAAAAAAACCTGTGAGCACTGTACAATCCCAATGTAGAAAAAGATATAAATGGAGAGAAACGTCTGAAAATCAATAATCATAATTATCTCTCATTATGTACACTGTGTCTCCATTACATACTGTACCATTAATTAACATATTTTAGTTCATTTTTATTAAGACTGTTAACACGTTCGCAAATGTGGATGTTATAGCAGTCATTTTCATCGTGATGCAAAATGACATGAATGCTATAACATTCAAATTTATAAGTTGCATTATCATGTATTTAATTCCATATAGCTTTAATTTTTTTCAAATTATTATGCACTTTAACCTTGGGAGTTGAAAAATAAATCACCTATCTATTTTTGCTGCTTATTAAAATTATTACTGTGCACGAACGTGTTAAGCAATATGAAAATCCTCATGTACTAAAACTGACTTAAAGATAAATAATTTTACACAGCAACTATGACAACTCCTTTTACAAGTAATTATTTTTAAAGTGTAATATTAACCTATCTGGACTTTGTTCAGCTATTGGCCATTCATGAAGGATATGTCCTGTGGCTAAATCCCACGCACGAACAATAGCTGGTACTCCCCCACTTACAGAAACAAGATCTCCATCTGCAACTCCACCCATTGCATGAATATGACCTGCATATCCCTTTTCTAATACACGTCTCCATAAGATTTGTCCTAATGAAATGAATTTTTTTATTAATCTTCATATTTACTTTGTTTTCTGTATTTAGAAATATGTTACTTTTCACAACTTTAGAATCAATAATTAAAAAGATTATCTTTTCATAGTCTCATAATATAATTTCTCTATTAACTTCCATGGAATAAGAAACATCAAGTGTTAATATTTGCTGATTCTTTCATTTATAACATAGAATAATGTAAATATTGAAAAGTCTTGCCACTTATCAAATTATTAATTAATAGTTGACAATTTTCGTTTACAAGTACAAAAGAAAATTTATTCATTATACGTGGCTGTTTTAATATCAACGTTTATGACTACCTGACTTGAGGTTTAGCGCAGCGATAACATTTTCCTCAGTAGCAACAATAATCTTTTTTGCAGTTGAGACGGTGTCAAAACTGGCAAACTTAATTTTACCGACATAATTTTGTTTCCTGCAAATAAAATAATGAATCTTCCGATTAGTGTAATTCGATTAGTAGACACAGTGTCAAACAAGGAAGCATGCTACTACATTATTTAAGCGCTCAGCATTACAATCAACATTCGTTTCAAAATACGAAACATTTTACCAGTCAAATTTTCCAATTTGATCTTCATAGAGACACATAGACAAATTAAACAGACCGATTAACACGATAAGGCATTGTAATATTTGAACATCAATTAAAAACCGGTTGATGTTTCCTCTAAAACTCCATACGAACAGAGCCATGATGATTACAGTGAACTTATCAATCCATCTGCTTATACAAATTTCCTCCGCTACTAACTGCTATAGTCATTGGTTACATAAAGAGAGAATAGCTACTGTAGCTAAAAAATATACTCTACCTTGGTATACCTGAAAAACAATATTTTCGCGGGATCATTCGAATGATAAAAAAAGATGGTTGTTTCAACAATGATCATTGATCTTGTAATTTCTTTTAGTGCACAATCTTTAATATTAAATTAAGTCCTATGAGTTTTAACTTGACATCTACGAAGTTGTAGAAATTTCCTCCTAATTCTTGTTTATATTTTATTCAAGTTAGATGCACTGGGAAGAAGTAAGGCGAAGAGAAATTTCCATGAACCCCATCTAAGGACATACTTTTTTGTTACTAAATGTAAGTAGGTGGTTTCCATGAAAAACCGTTAGTGACTTGTCACAAGTAAATTTAGATTTAAATAAATTAATATGTTGGTATTACTAGTCAAGTATAGAGATGGCACTAAAAAGAGGTGTAGGTTATGTGACATTAACCTATTCATTGTGTATACACGTTTAAAAATTTTACTACTCTGTCAATTTACTGTTTAGCAGATAGTATATTTTGTGTCGCAATTCTGAATATTGTAGATTCATTAATTCCTTCTTAGGCAGCAAAGTGTGATGTGAATTGTACGTTGTAATTTAGTATTATTTTTTAATGTTTAAAAATTAAAATGGGGAAAAAGTCGCCAAATATATGGAAGGGGGCATTATCGTACATATATTCACGTTTAACTCGACCATTTCGTAATTTTAATATTACGAATCGAACAAGCAAGGTTTTATCAAAAGATAAACCCGATGCTGCACCTCAATATCCTACAGTAGTTAAACAAAAAGAATTAGTAAATAAAAGTAAGTAATTCTGATTTTCGTATGATTATTAAATGTAATAATTTAAACATTTTTTGAAAATAAAGCGTATTTTAATATTTTATTTTAAGGTACCTATAATTAAACAAGACTTGTAGTTGTGCTAAAAGTCATAATAAATTTTGTTTTAATCAAACACATTCAATAACTTTTGTTGACTTTATAATTAGATTCATTGATTATTATTATTATATGTCATAAGGGATTGCACAAATTATCTCTAACATATAATTCTTTCTACAGATAAAAATAGTTATAAATATAAAAAGTTATGTTGTACATTGTATCCTAATAGATGTTTTTATTTTAGTGTACCCAAATTTCATGGAAAACCATTACAAAAAGGATATGCAATTAGATGATTATTTAAAGAAAGTTTATGTCACATCTAAAGATTCTATGGTATGCATCTTTTTAATGATAGTTGAATACAATAATATTTAATAAGAAAAATAAGGATTCAAAACATGTTTTGCATATGTTTATAAGAAAGTAACAGAGGAATCTGGTTCAAGTAAGTTATTACCCCAAAGAAGATATAATCTAAGGGAAGCTGAGTTTCCTTATGAAAACATTGGTCGGATTCCTGAAGGTAAATGTTCCCTGCAAGATGCTTTATATTTTATACACATGCATAGTGACGATCCTAATAAATATACTGTAGAACAAATAGCTACTGAATACAAGCTAGATAAACAGGTAGTAGGTAAGTGATAGTTACTATAAAGGAACAAATTATGCAACAGGATCAAGAAATATTTTAATAGTGTTACATTGTGTTTTGTTTCAGAAAATATTTTGAAATATTTTGTGATTCCTATTTCATTGAGTACAATATTTGAAGAAGATCAAACATCTGACCCTCCGCTATTAAAAGAAAAGTAATTATATTGTAATTTATTGTATATTTCATTTAAGTGTTGTATAGATAATTGAATAATTATGTAACGAATAAATAAATTATACGTATTTACAAAAAAATATAATTACACAAATGATCGCATGACAATATGGTTGTTTACAATTTCTAATTGCTATGTATACCCATTTCCATTTATATTACACAGTACAAATTATGAAAATTTAAAAACAAATAACCACTAGTCGCGATAAAAGATGATGTAATACATCTTTATATTTATATAAATATAACATTTCAAATAAACTATTTATTATACAAATAACTTAAAATTGATCCATTTATTTTCACTCGCTAAAATTTCACAAACTAATGCTTTCCCTCCTTTTAATTAACTCCATATATAGGAAAGACCTGAAACATAAACGAATATTTAGAGAAGATTTTCATCATTTTTATTCATTTCAAATGTGATCAAGTTTTACTTACTAGGTAGTGCATGATAGATGAAGACAACGAGAACTAACACATGGAATTGTTTAAACGTGGAAGGTGACGAGTGAGAGTGGCCGAAAAGTAATCCCTTATCGACCGGACTCGACTCCGGAATGACTGCAGTTTTTCTCAGCAACCAGTCGAAAGCGTTCATTTTAAGTCTCCTTTTTAATTCTGGCCCAACTTCGTCCCGAATTCGACGATTATAATTATTTAACCACCATTTCTGCAGAAATTTAATTTACAAAAATTCACAGTATACTTCTTCAACTTTTGATGGTTCTTAATTTTTTTTTTTATTTTTGTATCTCATTTTTGTATTTCATTAATTATATTTCCGGCTATTGGACCGCGTTTACTGATTGTGTAAATACGTTGTGCGAATAAATAAACTCACGTGGGATGGAGTCAACATGCTAGTGTCAATCAATTTCGGCTCGTATGGTACCAGAGTTGCGTCTCTGAATTTTAGAAATGTTTCCGTGTCTCCCTACAAGAACGTTACAGTTACGTTTGCAGATTAAAATACCTAATAAGCTTTTAAAAGAGAATTTTGTTCGAAAGTTACCGGTTTACTCGCTTCTACGACCTCGAGGATGTTCTCCAATCGCACGCCGAAATCGCCTTTCTTGTAGTATCCTGGTTCGTTGGACAAAAAATATCCTGGCCGCAGTTCAATTGGCCCGCATCCTTCGTCTGATGTTGCAACTTGCATGTAGGATATGCTAATAGGTGCTGGAAATTCAGATAACACAATCAGTAAAGCTAATTACCCATAGTAAACTTTGCTTAAACAAATTTCATATCTCCCGAAGAAAATTTTGAAAGACAGTTAATTCTACTTAACTTACGAACTAAGCTTAGCTTATTTAACACTAGAACTATCGTACCAGTCAAAATGACTGGTTTCGATTTCTTGTTTCGTAATTATTAATGTCTCAAAAGCATTAAACATTCGAAAAGATCTTGAAAATAAATAATTTCACATGAATACTATAATCTATTGTTACAATTTTTATAGGGATTACATATTAATCGTGTTAAATGCTCAGCAGTTCTAGTGTTAATGAAATTACTTTTTAGTAAATTCTCAAAAGTTCAACAATAAAGTGAAAACGAATTGGCAGATAACATGATAAATTGTTTTAGTAAATGCTTAATTGTTTGAATGCGAAGATACGAACATTCGTGTACAGACAGGAAGTGACCGATCCCGTGGCCAGTTCCATGCAAGTAATCATAACCGACATTCCATAATGGAGATCTTGCGACAACATCCAGGTGACTGGACTTTAAGGTACTCGGGAATACCATGGATGATAATTGTATCGCTCCAATTAAGACCCTGGTGTACGCTTTCTTTTGCTCCTCAGTTGGAATTCCGAAATGGAGGGTCCTCGTTATATCGGTTGTTCCATCTGTTACCCAAAAAGTGTAAAAAATATTTGGAAGGAATGTAGGATCGTGAAAATCAATCATTTGCTCTTGAAATTTTCAAGTTATTTTAATATTAATCATACTATAGGTTTCCCAGAATGTCACAGAACTTTTTTTAATAAGAATACAGGGAAAATTCGAATTATATTCTTAAGTTAATCAGAATGTGAGATAATTATTTTGAGCAATTCTTTACCTAAATATTGACCTCCAGAGTCCACCACTAAGGTGGACGTCTTCCCGATCATGATATTCGTGAGATTGTTGGGTTCGTAATGGGGAATCGCTGCATGAGGCCCATACCCAGCGATGGTCGGAAACGAGATGCCCTTATTGTTGTCCTGCTCGTAACGGAACTCGTTCGCCAACCTGGCCACCTGCATCTCGTCCCAACCATCCGAGTTCAATTCGTACTGCTCCTCCATGTACGCTAAAAAATCGCACATCGCCACAGCGTCCCTCAGGTGAGATCTTCGCATACCCTCCACCTCGACTGGATTCTTTTGTGCTCGAAGATTCACCACCGGTGAAGGTTTCGGTAAACGTTTCTCCGATGGGATCTAAAAATCAATTGGACAACAAAGTTGTCAAACGATGATTTTAATTATTAAATTAATTAATTGTTTGAAACTAAACAGAAGGTCGCCAACGGCATTTTTGGTCGTACAACGAAACATTGTGGCCCGTAAATCGAAAAAGTGCCATAATTAAAATTAAAAGAGGGTGAAACTACTAGCGCACATTTCTGCTTAAACGCGATTTTCGTTCATAGCGCTCGAAGATGTCAAATTCTAGACATATGTAGATACGTACATGCACAGATTCTCCAGAGGATAAATAAGATATTAGTACTATCGGTTGTTTTCACCGAACGCATGAGTTTCTCGACCAAATCGATGGTTTCCGTCGGACGCATATATGCGGTGGTAGTTCAAGGATTTAACACGTTGACTGCCACGAGAATTTCTAGCGTTTTGAATAGTAATATTTATTCTTCAATAACAAAGGCATAATCACATTACATTGTGATCTAGCTACTTATCCTACTAAATATTTTTGTTTAAAATCAAGTTTCTTATTGCAATTGTTCTTCAGCAATTTGAGAGCTCCGGGTCATCGGTGACCGTCGTGTCAGTCAACGTGTCAACTGAAGGGTAGCAATAAACTTCGCCGCTCAGCATCTTAGGGCTCGAGCGGCAAGCGTTATCCGCACGGCAAGTGCAGAAGCGAACTGACTGGTAGCAGCCAGTGGATTAGACCCTGGTGTCTGATGCCGCGGGCGTCCAGGCGTCCCTAAGCTCCGGCTAGCATGCCGAGGAGAAGGTAAACCGACACGCCACAGTGGTACGACCGCGTCCGACCAGTTACAGCGTTTTGCATGCTGTCTTGTTGCCCGCCATCTGTGTCTAGACATTTCAGTAATCAGAATACGGCGGGCCGCGCGAAAGAGTGCTTGTCCGTGTTTGGTCTACGTCTACGGAGGTGTGTCAGCTCGTCACGTGGCGATCAAGCTAAGCTCAACAAGCTCTACGAGACTAGGGTAACATGAAGCGGAAGGTGTACGTTCGCCTAGGATTATCCGCTCTAATACATGCGCAGCTGAACCGGTCCCTGTGTATTCGACGCTATTCCGAGAATCATTGCCGAGTGTCGCTTTTAACCGATTGACGCACAGTATTCCGTTAAATGACTTCTTTTCTTTATTAACACTAGAACTACCGAGCAGTCAAATTGAAGTTTTCGGATTTTTCTGTAGGGACTCTAAGAGTGCAGCTATTGAGATTCAATTGACTTATAATTCACGTGTTACTGAGTCAATTTTATCTAAGTCAATGCTATCTTTTCAATAATTGTAAAAGAACGAATGGGTTATTTTGAATGAAATCTAAGAAGTATTCGATAGGATTTGTGCTGGTAATATATGTGACACCCATAGACGATTGTATGCGTCAATGGGCTGAGGCACGTTTCGCATTAAGATTTTACATTAGTTCACGTATATTTTCGTTAACATGCAATGTCAGGAAACTTATGTTTGTTAATACTTTGACTGCCACGGCGATCGATGACCGGAGCTTTCAAATTACAAGAAAATAATGATGACTTGGAAAATAATTGATTTCGAATACAAATTTTCTGCGACGTAAATAACTAGACGACAGGGTAATATAAGAATTTTCATATGAAAGAATAATCCTTTCTTCGTACCTTTGCTATAGAAAGGATAAGTGATACATAAAACGCTGTTTCTCGTGGCAGTCAACGTGTTAAATAATTATCTCTATCCAATATGTTATCCTAACCATTATTCAACTATTAACCCTTCACAGACGAAGATTCTTTGAAACGTAAAACCTTCAATAGATCAAGCTAAATTATACATCAATTGCTTAATTAACAGAAAAAAAGGAAACTAAGTACCGACCTCTTGTTGCCCGACTAATCAAATCATTTGTCTACGATTTAGTTTTCCGAACATGAAATTTCCGCCTCGGAATGTCGATATTCGTCCGCGAAGGGTTGAAAACTTCCTAAGTTCAATTGTCTTGAATTAGTACCTACAGAATTGAATACTTCCATGGAGGCGCCTGGAGTATAACCGCACTGCGTCGGCAGCCACACGGTGTTCCACGCTTGAGACATAGTTCGCAAATCGTACCAAATGGACGTGTAATTATGCCAGCTGTAAAGAAACGCACACGTGAGTAAAGTTTAAAAAATCGGACGGCTCGTTTTCACTGGTGCCCTTACTTCACGCAGTTCTCGTGGTTGCAATAGTCCATCTTCAAATGCACCTCGACGGAGCGCAGAATTTTCTGCCGCGGCGTGTACAGGTGGATCGAACCCAGGGTAACGACAGCGTACGCCCGTAACACGGGCGTGTTGGGCAGGTCGTATCCGCGAATATTGAATAGCCAGGCTATCTCGTCGAGCGCGGTGACGACGAACGCGTCGGCGTTCGACGCTTCCATTTCCGCACGGACCAACTGGACCTTTTCCTGCCAGGCTTTTCCGGCGTACTTGTCCAGCAGCGGATAAGCCGCGTGCGGATTGTAATTCGGTCGGCCGACCTGCCAGATCAAGTCCACCAGGTTGTTACGGACAGGAACCAATTTTACGGGTGAATTCGCTGAACATGAACGCTATCGTTAATTTGGGGATGGTATCGTCCGACGAAGATGGACGACGTTTCTATCTCTTAACACGTTGAACGCCGCGGGGGTCACCGGTGGCCTCCAACCAAATTGAATTACTGTAGTTCACTCGATGAAACGGTTATTTGGAAACATTTATATATTACAAATAATGTCACTTAATCTCGTGACGTCCAGCTAGAAGAATGTTGAATTATTACTAATGCCAAGCTAGTGAAAGCAAAAATTCCCAAGCTTCATGTATCTTTAGTCTAAACGAAGGCGATAGAGAGGCAACCAGATGTGTCTGGATTTTGTCACGCGAATGAGAGACTTCTCCGGCAAGGCCGAAAACGGACTCCAACTTACTTTTGGGTGGTTAGTGTCACTCGCGTTCGAGAACTTGAAAGAGCTAGACGTGTTCTTCAAAGACGTTATAATAAAGTCACGATCAAATGATTTAATATTATAGTTTCTTCCATTTTGTGTATTTTTATTTTTAAAATCGTGCGGCATTCAACGTGTTAACCATCATCATTCGTACTTCTAACAGTGTAACACCCTTCCAGCATTAACACTAGAACTGCCGGATGGGTCAGAATGACCCATTCTCGATTTCTTCGTTTATAATCATTGAGAACGCGCAGATACTTGATTGAGAGATTATTGCGGAAACTGATTTAGTAATACTTAAATTGACGTATAAATCAATTGAAATCTTGATAATACACTTGTGGCTCTCACGAAGAAATTTTCAAAAGTTAGTTTGAGTACTCGGTAGTTCTAATGTTAACCCATTGGCGTACTATTTACTTTCGATACTAAGTTCGTGTCAAGTAAAAACTAGCGACAATTTGGAAGAAATGCAGTGAAATTGTCCATTCTACTTCAAGTGGATATTTCATTTAAAGATAATACATTGGTAGCAAAATAGTTGTTTCCTTTGATCCGTGGCTAATGAGCAACTTGATTGTGGTTAAATTAGTCTAGAAATCTTCATCGCGAGTCTCGCTCGTCATTGTACGACAAGGGATCAATGATCTCATTTTTCCAACAATTTATATGCCCTTTTCAAGAGATGGCAAGTAAATAAATTAATTTGACGCTTGTCTTTTAATCTTTTGCACTCGAATGTGTTTTACTGAAAATATCCAGCATTCTCCGGCGAGATATGAACGACATTGTTTGAAACTGATTTAACGATAGTTCACAGATAAATTAAGCAACAAAGGTATTTTATTTAAATATTTTACATTGCAGTACAAAGTTTCATTTAGAATACTAAATACTCAACTTAAAAGTTTTGTTGTATCAAATCGAGTGGTGACTGAGAGTCACATCTCGAGTGCAAAGGGTTAAATTTCTCACGGTAAATTGGATTGGAAACAGATGAGACCATAAATTCGTCAAACATAGGGACGTGAGTGAATTAAAAGTTCATTTAAGTTGGCGCGCGCGATGTTTTAGTGCGGCGCCGACGTTTGTAGGTTTGCTCGCTGACAAACTGTGCAACGATACATATAAATCGAATGTTTGTTCACACCGACAGGTTTAATGCTTTTCAGACAGGATTCATTACCTAATTTCTCTTCCCAAGTTTCCCAGTCGACGGCGGAAACTAACGTTGGATCAGCGCCAATACGTACTGAAAGGTTGCTTTGAAATTCGTGTTTCAGCCATTCTGTTAGCGTGGGTACCTACGTGATTGGAAATATTTAATCGTTAAAGGGATTCAGATTGATAAATAGATTTTATGAAACGTTGCACTTAACGCAATGCGCAGTCATTATTTTTGTTAATTCTGATACATCGCGAATGATGACAAAGTTAATTTTCTGAATTTTGGCAAATACTTAAAAAATGTATTCATTATAAAATATTTATTATATTACATATTTTGTAAGTGTATAATAAATAACGTTTACTGCCTTAGCAAAGTACAACTTAATACCATTATATATCAAAGTTATTTATCATTATTATATATCATTATATGTTTACTGTTTTATTAAAGTTAAACTTAATGTCATTATACATCAAATTGGTAAAATAAAAACTTCATCTTTCATAACGTTATACAAATACTTAATACGATTTAGAAAAGAATAAAAAGAGATGACGTATTTTATTATTAGATAATTTAGTTAATCAAATTATTTAATTACAAAAGTTTCGAATAATTGATCTTTAATAACTAAAAATAAAACTTATGTTTGGATATTAAATATACAAGAAGAACCACTCAGAAAGCCCCAATTCCCAGGCCCCTTGCACTGAGTGCAAGGGGTGAACGATCATCGATGACTGAGGAATCGAACAGTGTCAACTCCTCGAGTCTTCCTCACGCTCAGGGAAAGGAGCTACGCCTCCTCATCGTGGTTACATCAACTCTCTGTTTGGGCAGAGATCGAAAAGAAGATCTACTACAGAAATGATCCTGTGAAGTACGATCTTGCTTTTCCTCGGTGCGACGAAGGTATATATGCTATTCAGTGTATTATTTCAGCAGCGAGAGAGCGTTCAACTCGGTGTCCATCTAGTGGCGACAAGCGGTACTACATATATTACATCACCCCGAAATACTGAATACATACGTACATTGAATAAGTACAAACCTACATATATATTTCATAAAAACGACATCCTCGAGTATATTACGAATGATTAAAATATTTTTTACATTATGGATATAAAAATCATGATACTATTATGTTAACACGTTGAATGCCGTACGATTTCATAGAGCAAAATACCCGAATCGAAGAAATATAATATTACATCAATTTGATTTGAATTGCACGATTATTATTGCATGTTTATCTAGCTGAATGTCACTTCTTTTCGAATAATCAAGTTTAACGGAGTAAACTATAGTAATCGATTCGGTTAGGGGCCATCGGTGACCGCCACGACATTCAATGTGTTAACATTTAACCCTTTGCGGACGAAGGTTCATCAAAGTACGCAACGCTTGTAACATATGAAGGTAAATTACACATCGAATGTTTAAACAATAGAAAAAAAGGAAACTATACACTGATCATTTGCTATGCAAGTAATTAAATCATTCGTTTAAAGTTTAGTATTTCATCAAATGTGAAAATTTCATCTCGCCGAGATGTCGGCGTTCGTTTGCAAAGGGTTAATCCGATTGTAAAATATTATCTCTTAATTTACTAAGATAAATATATTGCAACGCTGTACTAATGTCATCATATTGAAATGTTATTTCATTTTTTAATAATTATAGTATGCACCTATCTATACATAGAAATCAGAGAATTTAAAATCTTAATTCGAATGGAAACTTACGTTTTCTCTGCCACGTTTCATAAGTATCCAATTGCAATCAAGCTGTTGGTCAGCTTGATCGTGATATCTCCCATCAGTCCAAAACACAGCCTTGTTCAACGTAATAACAGCCTCTCCGGCACTGCCATAGAATCCGGTGATGAATTCTCTTCTCATATCTCGTGGATCCAGCGATTCGCTCTAATGGTAAAGTTGATGCTTTCATTACAGGTTTATAAGGGAATTATAAGCAATACCAGTTGTTAATATTTAAGATTGCAAAGCTCTTGACGATTAATGATATTTAATTGAAACGGAACAGCACTCGGGATTAAAAAGCACCGCGGCGAAATTAGGGGATGCTGACGATCGGGAGCTTATGATCGAGAATATTAAGGCGCAATCTCAGTGCCATCAAAACTGAGTTCTTGACAAACTGGTAAACTCAGGGGAAGCATCAGATATTTGCAAACGCGATGTCTTACGCGAGTTATACCTCCAACGGCCCCCCATGGCCGTGACTAACGTAGTTCACTGTCTGCAACGTTAAGTTTACACATATGTCTTCAGGTTGATGAAAAGGCAACATTGATATTAGCTGTTTCACTATGATAGAAGATATCAAAATACTCGCTTGTAGACTGCAAATGTTCATGCACGTGCAGCATGTTTAGAAATATACAAAATTCAGAAAAATAAATATTTCAATATCTTAATTTGAATATTTTCTCCCCCTGTTTGTATATAGACCTTCAAATATGTATAATTGCATGAACATATGTAGTACAGTTATTGGAAAAGTTGTTTACAGTACACCAAATGATTGATGTGCATAATGTACAATATTTAATTACCTGATGTGCATCGTCTGAAGTGACAATATATCCATTCAGAGGTGGTCCTTGGATAGAAGCAATGCGGACCATTTCTGATCGTAATTGTTTCAGTCTTAATGAAGTGTCCTGCCTGTTTGGTGGCTGTTTGTTGCCCCTTGGTGGACAGTGAAATCTCTTTGCTCCATTGTAGTCCAGAAGTGGCTCAGGGATTTTATATTCGTCGAGCAGTGCATCGATCCCACCTGGAGACATATATTTATCATATAAATATATTTTATCATCTTTAGAACTCCAGGAGATAAAAAATAAAATTAAAATATTTAGCCAGTAACTGTTTTATTTTATATTCTAATATATTTTTAATTCAAATATTCATGTAATTGCGTAGTGAAATGTATTTACTTGTTTTTAATGAAATATTTTATCGTTTAAAATAAAAAAAGGTAGTAAAAAACGAAACTTCCGATATTTGGAGGCGCCGGGTATCGATCCCGGTACCTCTCGCATGCTAAGCGAGCGCTCTACCATCTGAGCTACGCCCCCGGTGAAATGTACAGTTTTAAATAAGTATATATTGTAGGAGTTCTCTTTACAAAGGATTGAAACTTTTTATAAAATAATATTAAAGGAAGTATAATCAAGTTAGAATATGTGAATCTATGTATTTAATCTATAAAGTGTGTACATTATATGTTATTTATCAATACAAATATATAAACATATAGGAATATATTATCTGCCTTAAGTGTTTTTTCTTAGAATTTCTTCAGAATACGCTTATAACTTAATCAAGTGCGACACTACAATTCTTCAATAAATAATTAACAACAATTCTTTCATTGATTATTCATTATCCGAAGAATTTAGGTTCCATAAAATATCTAAAAATTAATTCAACATACACGGAAAACAATAGTCTATGACTTATACTTCACACGATGAATAATAAGTAGAAATAGCAAGCAGTAGACAGACTACTTCTCCACGAACGCTTACATGAACCCATATAAAACCCGAATTTTCTGAAAATTTCGATATAAACAAAATTCATTTCGATTTATTTTTTCAATAAGGATCATATAAAAACATCTGTCATTATCGTTCAGACCATACTTCATACAAAATTCCACAAAATTAACATTCTTTTTTCCATAAAAAAATGTATTTATTACAAACTCAGGTGATTTGTTAAGAATAAATAAACCAATATTCACTCAATGCAAATATGTACTTTATACAAAACAGTGAATTTAGTTCTGACAAACTCAGTGCAATGAATTAACAGTCTCTGTCATGCGTTAAGAATGAATTGGTCGATAGTGATTGGCCACCGTGTCGCGCGAAGTGAAAGGGACAAGAATGCCGGGTTCACGGTACGAGTATTTAAACAGGTCCTGTGGGAATCCAGAGGGTGTGCTGAGTGGTGCTCACATAGCAGGGAATCAGATTCATCGAGGAGGTCAGCCATTCCGAAATCCACGTTTCGATCGGTCCAGATATTCGCACATTAGCTTTTATTTAATTATTAGTGATTTCCACGGCCGAAATGCCACTCGCAATAATCACCTGCTCCTCGACAGGTATTTCGCCATTTAAAAATATGGAAATTCATTCGATTTTCACGACCAATAAACCTGTTACATCTGTTCCATTGCTGAAACCTTGGAAAATCGATACACGGTTACAGAAACGACGGGAACAAACTTTCCGTCGCGTCTGTACGGCGTGTCCAGGGCAACCGGTTACCGAATTGTTTAATTTAATAATTTAACGTAAATATCAAGTAATATTAAATATGTTACTAGGGTAGTAGGAGTGCGGTGAAAGCGAGTTTTACTCTGTTGTAACTTTACAATTTTCACCGCGCAAGTTTTCCATGCCCGCGCTCGTGTAAGCGTTCAAGGGCTCGAAGGGCGGGCGACACTTTTTCCTTCTTTTCTCCATTCTCGGTCGCGACAAGTCACGCGAACCTGTCTCCGCAATTTCTTAGCGATCTGACATGTATTCTTTCACCGGATTTTTATCTCGTGCACAGTTATGAAAAATTATATTTTGAAACGTTCCTCGGAGGAACTCGGTTAAACGGATAAATGGCGAACATTGGTAACGTGTCGTTTCATTATTTTTTAGAATATTTCCTTTAGACGAATTTATTCTGAAGATCTTGACACCTCGTTAATTGGTTTTTAATTAGTTCAAGGGAGATATCTTTGAAGCAATTGTTCAAAAGTGTAATTTATGTCGTGCGAATTTTTATAGTGTAATCATTCCAGTAGAATCATTTGAATTTTATGCGGGAATTGAGATTCTCGTGCTTTATTTTACGACGGTCTTGAAGATATGAATCTTTCAACGTTCGTCCCTATAATTGTGTTAACAAATCCTAAAGAATTCAATTAAAAGCAATTACATAAATAAGACTTTAAAAGGACTATATAGAAAATATTAACAATGTAAACTGCGCGAAAGAATAATTGCAAATACTCGTTGCTTCAAACATTATAGTTTGGACTGTAGAGTATAGATTATTCTTTGACCGAGTCATGTTTAATACCTGTCGATCACGTTCTTATTTCTCAAGAATTCAATTATTAGTTCCAGAATAATAAACGGCAATTAGGATTAATAGAGTAAACAATTACTCGCCACTTAAATTTCCTGCATTACCTAATAAAACCGGAAGCACCAATGAATTACGATTACAATAATGCGTTGAAAAATAAAGATTACTTCAGGATGTTCCTCGCTTAGTTATCCGAAAATCATTCCCCATTGTCATTGCTGCGGATAATCCATGTTTGCGCGGGCACATTCCCTTCATGCAACAGTTATATAATGTATTTTTCCGCTGACTGTCCTTTATAAACCGCTGATAGCCGATTCTAGACAGGATGTGCTTCTCTATAAAAGCAAGGCTATTAAGCGTCTAATGACAATTCGCGTTCCAGTAACTCGACATGTGGCTGTTCAAGTACCTGTTATACGGATTTGTGCTGCTTTGTGTGCATGCAGAGCAAGATGTTCAGTTGGAGATACCTCAAGGGATCCTTAAAGGGTTGAAGACCGAGACTGTCTACAATAATAAGGGTTACTACAGCTTCAAAGGGATACCTTACGCGAAACCAAATGTCGGACCCCACAAGTTTCGCGTGAGTGATTATTTAGAGTTGTTTAAATTTTCACCTTATTAACGAATCGTAAATTCTTTAAATTATTGAATATCTATCATTCGAATCGAGAGTACTTGCAATAAAAAAGATCTCGCCGAGTATTTCATTTTCGCTAGATACTATTCAAGTTCCAAGGATTTAAGTTAAGAATGCAATAGAAAATTGTGTTGTTAAAATGTGAATTATATATTGTGAATAGATGATTATGGATTATTAAATTTAAGGAAATTCGATCGGAATTTTCAGATATCAGAGCCAGCTAATCCTTGGGAAGGCGTGTACGATGCAACAAAGCATCGTTCCGCTTGTCCATTCTACTGTATGATCAAGAAGGGTCTTGTAGGTGAAGAGGATTGTCTTTATCTGAACGTGTACACTCCAGTTTTGGATAAAGAGGCCAACAAAGCGGTTATGGTGTGGTTCCACCCTGGCGCATGGAACAGTGGCACAGCTGATGATATTCTCTTTGGTCCTGACTTTTTGGTCGAGGAGGATGTCATCTTGGTTACTGTTAATTACAGACTTGGCGCCCTTGGTACGAACTTATGTTACATTAAATATTTAACAAATTTTCATAAATGTTAGAATTCAGTTAAATTAATTTACTTAAATGATACGCCAAGTCTCTAAATCCCATTTTTTGTATCTTCGAACAATCGTAGCTTTCGATTTAATTAATATATTATGTTTCAGGATATTTGAATACGGGAGATAAAAATGCTCCTGGGAACGCCGGCATGAAGGACCAGGTGATGGCGTTGAAATGGGTGAAAGATAACATACATTTCTTCGGGGGCTCTTCGAATAGAGTCACCATCTTTGGCCAGAGTTCTGGAGGAGCGTCTGTTCAGTATCACATGTTCTCTCCTATGTCCGAAGGTAATCAATTAATTTAATTAGGTTGAAGACCTAACGTATAAGTATCTATTCAAGCAGTTACGAAGTTAAATTCCAAAATGTTTAATTAGGAAATAAATTTTAACCTGTTCGTTCGCCTCTAGGGTTATTCAACGCTGCCATTGATCAAAGTGGATCGATGCTCGGTCAATACGCACTGCAAAAAAACCCAAGGGAACTCGCTTTTAAATTAGGGGAGGCTCTAGGAATAAAAACTACAGATTCCGCGGAGTTGGTGCAGAAACTCTCCGAGTTTGATGTGAAAGACATCATTGCAGGCAGTGACGAAGTGACTAAGTCTCTGGTAATGTACATTAGTAATTTATAATGCTAAAATATTACGATGAACTTGATGACATAATCTTTATTAGTAAAAAAGGAAACAGTTAATGAGAAACATGCTTCGTTTTTGTCTTCATTGCAGAATCCTTTGAATGGGCATCTAGCTGCGTTCGTTCCTTCGGTCGAGAATGATTTAGGCCAAGACATGTTCCTGACAACGGATACTTGGTCCTTAATAAAGACCGGTAGAGCTGCCGACGTGCCATTTATGACAGGATTGGTCGCTGATGAAGGTTCACTGTTTGTGCAGGGTATGTACTATCTTGATTATCAGAAATCGAGGCGTATAAAAAGTGAGTATTCATTTAATTAACTACGCAGGGATGTTGAACAATATCGAGGTACTGAACACCGAACCAGAATTGTTCCTACCAGACGATTTGAACATTACCGATCCAGAAATGTTTAAAAAGAATGGACAATGTCTGAAGATGCACTATTTTGGAGAGAAGGACGTTACCAAGGAGGACATGAACGAGTACGTTAAGGTAATTTATGAAGATCCATGTACAATATAATTCTATGTTTTTCTATAACCTTCTTCCCGCACATTCTTCTCTATTGCGATGTTACAGATGATAGGCGATACCTTCATCAACGCCCAAGCATTGATACCATTGGAATATATCAAAAGTAAAAATTCAGCTCCAATCTACTCATATCTGTTCACTTATGAAGCGCCATTTGGATATATGAAAACTTTATACGGCATGACCGACAGTGAGTTGTCATTTTCGTTAGTAAAACGGTTATATCTTTGTTTACCAAATATTTGATTTTTACAATCTGAGTAATACGTGTTACCTTTTTTTAAAATCATTGCGTGGTTGTTCTGACTAGGTGTTGCGCATGGCGATGAATTAGGTTACCTGTTTTATGGTGGTGCCTTCAAGAACTTACCAGAACCAGGCACCTCCGGGGAGAAGATGACGAAAATTATGACTAAATTGTGGACAAACTTCGCCAAAGACAAGTCAGTAATATTATATGTTAAATTGCAAATTATAAGTAAACACAGGTTTTAATGTCAATTTCTAATGAATGTTTACGACTTCATTCTCTTTATTTGATGAAATGACAAAATGATTGAATGTTTCAGAAACCCAACTTCTACCTTGGACGACGTCGTTACTGTGAATTGGGAACCCATAGGGGCAGACAATAATTACCTGAATATTAATGAAGAATTGAAAATGGAGAAGAATCTGATGCAAGAGACGGTAGATTTTTGGAAAAAGAAGTACGGTAATGTTATTGGAAACACATTGTAATATTACAGAAAGTTTTAAGCGATTATTGTTCAAAAATAACAGTAACTAAATTAAATTAAGGTAGTATACCTAATTACTTTTAAGTATACCTGAATACTTTTCAAAATATTTCATGTACACAAGTACTTAAGTAAACTAAACAGTATTATGAACAATAAACAAATAATAAAGTATCACGAAGCATACAACTATTTATAAAATTCAACATTCTTCAACAACTTACACCTATCCCACTATCTTCTATATCTTTCCTTTTCCATTCATTTTTATTAAATCGCGTATTTCTTATAAATTATGGTGTCATTAAAATTTCCAATTCACCATTTATATAATATAAAATAAAAAGGTTTGACTGTTTCATGTATCATTAACACGTTTACTACAGAGAAAGGGTAAAGAAAAATAAATTACTTTTACATTAGAAAAATTTCAGTTTTTAGCATCGCCCTGCATCAACGAGGTGGTGGCGACTTTCTCCTTCATCGAGCGACCATTTTACGTTCTTCTCATCTCGCTTCGTTCTCGGCTATTGGTTCACCACTCGCCTTCTTGTCCCGGGTGTATCAGGCTTACATGAGAACGTAGAAACGTGAATCTCGCGGGGACCAATTACATGACAAAGTTCACGTGCCACGAGGTCACAAAAGAAGAGGGAACGAGTCGCCATCTTAACGATCACCCTGCGAAGAGACCAACGCGATTCGCTTTCTTAGTCGTTACCACGTTGCCATTGCAGATTTACCATTTGTTCACCACTCACTTTTGTGCTTCGAAACGATTAGTCTCGCAGGAACGCGAGGAGCTATTTCAAGCTTATAGAGCATGTTACGCGCGCAGTAGTACGCACGCGTGATGTAGCAATACCACTCGGTTTCATTCATGCGTGACGTGATCGATATAAAAACAGAACTGCTTGGCAAATAAGTATCTCATTTGTGCGATGTATCATAAGCTTAATCATCACTACTCCATTCATATTATTAAATCTCTGAACATAATATTTGCAAATAACTTGTACCATAGCCTTACGGTAGCAGTGCTATTGGATTGATGATGTGTTATTGTAGTCATAAATGTTTATTTATTTAATAGATATTCCGGTAGATAAATATCGAAACTTTCATTGCTATTAAAGAAACGTTTATTGTCTTGTAAACTTTTTTTTTGTAGCAGGATGATTTAGGCTTGTTCTCAGAGACCTCATGCTGCTTGGCTTCCCGGACAGTTAGACGGGCAATCAAATGATCCCAAGGTTTCGTGAGGAGATGATCAAGACTCCGCAGTGGAGGACTGTTTCTCAAGATGATCTTCAACATCTTTATACCAGGCTAGCATAGAGGCACAGCAGGTACCCGTTTCATCTTAGATTCCTGGACCAGTTTGGTCGCTCGCTCGGACCACTTCCTTTTCATTCATCTCTACCGTGATATTCAATCATTGAAATTACCTGGCAGTAAAATAAATTACATGCCGCTTTTCGATGAGAAATATTAAGAAATTAACAGAACACCAATGAAATTTTAGAAATATTGATCCAAAAGAGATTAAGTAGTACCATCCCCTAACTTAACAACAGAATAAATAGCTAGTATTTAAGATTTGACTAGAATTCTAACAATCTTCATCAAGCAGCAAAACATAGGAAATCAGAATTAATTAAACGAAGTGCAGCGTTTAGTCTATTTACTATAGATAGTAAAGAGGGGTCGTGTAATTTGGTAAACCGCAGCGTGTCGAACAAGATTATCTGGTAATCTGCTACGGAATAGGACAAAAAGCGACTACGCTATTCATCTGCGCCGCATCTGCGCCACACGACGAGATGATTTTCAGTTTCACCGTACCAGGTTCTCATAATGCCGAGCTGATGCCTCTCATCCCGCGACTGGACCGCTACTTTCATGATTCCCGCACAGTTCTCTCCCTGCCTTTGTGGACACTGCTTCCGTCGACTCATGCTTTCCACAGCATTTTTTCGATGTTCCGGTTCATTCGTCGTGGACCTGCTCGCGTGTCAAGCGTCCTCGTCGAATTCTCGAAGGAGATCGTTCTCGGCCTCCGCGTCCCGTTGTCTTTCACGGACTCGTCAGGATCGAAGGCTCGTCGGCAGACGAAAGAAGGAATGTCGGATCAGCGGCCTATACCGCCGAGAAAGTATCGGATACTCGAAAAATGCCCGGTATCCACCTCGCGCGGCTGCCCGTTTCAACGGGGCTGCGGGTATCGGCTTCTCGGTCAAACGGGCTTCGATTTGGGATGGCTCGAGGCTTTTTACATCACACGTACACAGGAGAACAGGAAGAGGCTGCGGTGCTTCTCGAGGGTAGTTTTCAAGCTAGGCTCCCTTTTATCTGCGACTCCTAAATTAACCCTTTGCATTCGAGAGGCGACTTTGACTTACCACTTGATTTCACGCAGTAAAACTGTAAAATTTGATATTTAATACATTGATCGTCGGTGACTTAAGAGACATTTAAAGCCCAAACGCCGGCTTCATTCGTGTTCGTGCACGCTGTCCAGGCAGTAATAGTGGACGTGGCGTAACACTTTCACACGCCGAATTAACCTTGTGTGAAATAGATGTGATGAAAAAAGGCTTCTCCTTTTCTCGTTCGAAAGTGGACTGTATTTTGTTTAATATTGAGTGAAAGGAATGTGTATATGTTTACAAAGTTAAAGTGTGTGTGTTGTCCAGTGAGTAGTGTGGTTGTTATGAACTTGTGATGTATGTCTGTCTGTCTAGTCTCTCCATGTCTCTCTATATATATAAAAATATTGAGATAGGGCGGTGTCCTTAGTGACAAATCAGAAGGCTAAACTATCGGAGTGTTGCTAGTGTAACCTACGTCCACATTGTAGTGGAGGTAGGGGGTATGTCGTCCCTTCTGACCTGCAAAGGTACCGGTGGCTGTGCGCTCGGGGTTTAGGTGGTTGAGCTGCCGTTCTTTTTGATATGTGTCTTAATCAAATAAACCGTGCCAGAACAATTCGCTTGTATCTGATCAATGAGTAGAAAAAAAAATTTTTTTAATATTATACATTTTCGTAAAATAGTACATTTTAATTGCATGTTCGTCAAATCTAGAAATGAAAATCCAGAAGTCCGCATTACTGCGAGGCCGGCGCTCAAGCGATAGACTCAGAATCCCGCGTTTTCACGGGACCGGCGCTCAATGTGTTAATATTATACTCTGTATAATGTATCAATTTGAGAAATATTGAAATAAAATAGCTTTGTTCCTCAATGCACGTGAGGTTTCTCTTCGAGTTAGTTTCATAAAATATCGTCTTCAGCTCATCAGAGAATGTTAAAATATTTCTACTGAAAAACATCCGAGTTTAATGCGGTTATGCTTCACGAGGGAAAGCAGATTTCTTTCCGTATACATTTATTGAGCTTAAGATGTTACAAAGATATTGTTATGAATAACACTTTTTGTTTGATGCGAATTAATGAAAACCAATGTAGTCATGATGCATTTGGTCGGTTTACATTAGCTGACGTTCCTTTGTTCTGTTGACATTTTTGTGGGAGAAGTTACTGAAATAGTTACTTGAAACTGTGATAACTAGTTTATGCATTAATGGAGTATTCTATACTTACTCTCTAGTAGAATGAATAGAAAGAATTTCGTTAGGAATCTATGTGGACTAGGCTCGATATACATTATCGGTCAGCTCTCGATCGAGCATTTTACGTAACTTAAAAATCCTAGGTTTGCAATCTTCGCAGCCCCGTGATCTGCCCCCAACTTCAGCAAGTTAATACTAAACTCGAAGCCGATTTAATATAAAATCAATTGCAATTCTATTCCACCAAATGTACGAAATTTTTAAATTGTCATTACCATAACGGGTAGACTCAAAGGTTTAATAAGCGTGCCAGCCACCCTCGGTCCAGTGGCTGCCGAAAATAAAAGTAGCGGGAACTGAATCGAACGGGAGGCTTTTCGACAGGCGTCACGCGTCATGAGCATGTCGCGACCCCGGTTCGCGGGGGTGGCTATGCACGTGGCGATATGCGCGCGACGGGGGTGGCGCGCTGGCGCTGTCAGCCATCATCGGCAGAGATCGATAACCCAGGATCGGTGTGCGTGCACACGTTCGGGACTGACCGGGAAACACGAAAAAAACGTCCAAGAAAAATAACGAAGGGGTTTCCGGTCGGATCGGCGGAGTGGGGGGAGGGGGTTAGGTTAAAAAGACATCATAAATCGCGCCGAACCCGCGACATGGCCCGCGCTAACCCCCTCGCTGTCCATATGATCCTGGCCGTTGTGAGATGGCCAGTTGCTTAAGTGACCGATCAACCAGGCCAAGGTTCCCGGGCCAGTCTCCAGGCGTTCGTGCAGTCGAAAGTCTACCCGAGAAAAAGATGCTACGGAGGTTTTTATCGGTTCCTTTCGCGGGACGAAGCGTCGCCAGTGCCCGCCACCTTGACAGGCGAGCATCCGACAGTGGAGGTGAATCCCCGACGAACGTGGAAGGGGACACCGCTAAGCAACGCGAGCCGGGGTGAAGCGTCCTGCGGTTAGGGGATGCGTAGTTCGACTAACCGCCGCTGAATCGCTGTGCTCGCTTGTTTGCGTAAATATGGCCACTCTGAGCTGGCGAGGTTTATGTATATAGGAAACTTATGCAATGCGAATGTTTATCTGCGCTGAGATATTGTGACGAGTTGATTTATGCAATGCGACGTTTGCCCAATGCTGCATGAAGGAATGACGGATTTTATGTAGGAAATTTATTCCTATGGGAAAAGTTAATTTATCTGGGAAAAATATTTTATGTTACAGTGGTTATACCGAAGATTATATTATCGAAAATTTTCCTGGCTTAACAGGATGTTCGTTATTTTTTCTTGATTTTTGATATTGTTTAGAGGCCCGCGATGATTAGCGGATGTTGAGTTTCTGGAGACTGTGTAGTTTACAATAAAGAGGGTGAATTATGGAGTAAGACTTCTTTGAGAAGAGTTCGATTACGTTGGAAATTAAAGGAGAAGTTCGTTGTATTATGAACAATGATAT